ACAGCTGATTACTATATATATATATATATATATAAAGTTGCATTAAAATGGAAATACTCAAGTACCTCAAAACTATACTTTAAACAGTACCTGAGACAATGGTCCCTGGTGTATAACACACTTGGGCTGACTTTTTCTCTGATTACCAAGTGGAGGTCAAAACGGTTCATCCTCTCAGGAAGGTGAACGGTTTGGTCTGATGGTGGCACTAAAAGGGACACATCATTATCATTAATCCTTTGAGAACTTCAATAATAAATAATAAAGAATATCAAGTTTCATTGATATCTGTGCATTAGTTCTCCAATTCTTAGGTAAAAAAATAACCAAAAGAAGGCGCTAGAGGTTCATCTTCTGGAGAGCACACATGCTAAGTAACTTTCATTGCAGTCTGGCTAGTAGTTGTTGAGTAATGTTGGATATCAGAAACCTAAAATTATTTTTGGCCTCTACATTTTGATTTAATACTTAATGTTCAAGTGTTGGCTTTAACAAAGTATTTGCTTTCCTGGCCCCAAACATTTAAGGTCCCTGAGAAGTATTACTGTATGTACTTGGACTATTTTTTCCCCTACAGCAATAGCTGATGAAGGGTTGATCTTACGAATTCAGGCCTGCAAAAAAGAAACACGGTATATGTCTATTGTGCTGCATTTTAATTGTTTATGTTTTTAATTTCTCAAGATATCGGTTGATAAAAGCCAAACTAGAGACAAACCTCTTACAAAACACACACACACACACACACACACACACACACACACAGGATGGTTTGAATCTTTATCTAACCGCAATAATCCAAGGCAAAGCTAAAGGCCTGAGGGGTCTCAGCTTGTATAAACACTTCAGCATATTATCCCTAACACTTCACAGTAGCGCCACATGAATTTGAGCCACTGTAAAGCATTGTGGGTGCAGTAGCACCTGTGGGAGGTGAAAGAAATGAGCATTTATGTGAGAAAGCAGAAGGCCTGTTTCACCTCTCCATGCTGCAAAGTTGAAAGTTAATTGAAGTGAACCACCTGCTGCTGGTGATGAGTGACTCAGCCACAATGACACCGTCAGTGAGATCTCACCCGGGGCTGACTGCTCTGCCATCCTGCAACCTGCTCACCCAGCCTCATCACAGAGTGTGGAAAATTACATGCTTTGGGTGTTGGTGTGGGTTTTTGGATGTCTTCACATCACAGTATCAGTGTAATGTAGACACACCCAAGCAAGTAACACTGCAGTAGCTCCTGTAGGGAAACAGCTGTGACTCATATTAGAGCTGACCTCTGTGCTGGGAAATGATAGGCGGTCATGCTGCTGTGAATTTAAAACTAAAAACATGGATGTTGAACCAGCCTGCTCCACAGCACTACTAGGGGCCAAAAACTCTATGCAATACCTTTAAAATCTGTTATTCTATAAAGTTCCCCATCTTTGAAAAACACACTGCCAGTTGCATACAGAAAGGTCAGATCCTTTGTTTATCAGCATTTCTTCTTAACATCATTTTCAATACACCCAAGTGGTTTCCCAGGAAAAGGATTTTGTTAAGAATTCCCAGAAATAATGTATGCAAAACGAAACGTCGCAGAGCCACCAAAGTCTAGCACTCAAACAATTCATTGAGTTAGTCCATATAACTACATACAGCACACTGTTTTGCACTAACAATTATAACTGTTGCACAATGCGCTTACTCTGGACAAAGGAAGATGATGTGATTTGATGGCAAAAGAGGAGGGAGAGAAAAGATAGTGAGGGACGAAGAGAAGAGACAGAAAGTGTCAATAGCATGGGCTTATTTCAAGCTAAAGAAAAAACAACTCTGTACAGGTTGTGTCTACTGTAAAACAGAACTATGCTTCAGCATCTGAGCAGAAAGCACCCGGTCTACACATCGAGTCCACAGAGCAGACCCAAAACAAGGCAACAGAAACGTTAGCATTTAATGTAAATCAAGATTGCTAGTTGACATGATGGCTAGCAAAAGGTAAGACACAATCCTTAGATGTAAATGTGCGTTTGTTGTCATTGTTCTCCGACTTGTTAGTTTGTGAGTATGGGTTGTAACGTTACAATGATATGAGTAACACAGCTGATCCAAATACCGGGGGCGCCCAGCAGAAGTATTTCTTATCCAATTACTCAATGCATTTTAAAGGATATTCCTTTTAAGATGATAAAGAAAGAAACCATTTTCCAGAAAATTTTTTAGTTCAATCCCCTGGAAACTAATTTTTCCACTGGTGGGAAGCCAGTGAGGGATAGTTGTCGCTGCAACATTGTTTCTAGAGACCTCAGGAGTCACGTTATGGCAGTGTACAATTAAGTGTTGTTGTAGCTTGACCCATACTAGAGACGCCAACTTTATAGAGGTGCAATACATTAGTATTGCACCTCTATAATGTTTCTCTAGAGTACTTATATCAAAAATGGGTGAAAACCTTAGAGACTCTGGCACACTATCAGTTACTCAATATATTCTCAATTATATTCTATTATAAGAATAATCATTTGAGCATCAACACATCGGGAAACAGCAGCTTTTGGGGATGTGGGATGTAAGAACTGAATGAAAATTTGTTTAATAAACTGATCTGCTTATTTCCAATCAAGTATTTTTTGGTGAGTAAAACAGTGATTTTGGCAAAGAGCGAAAAAACACCAAACTATTGTGTCTAAACGGGCGAGAAACAGACAGCAGAGTGGTGTGATGGAGTTGCTGTAAACATCAGCGTTGATTACAATGAAAACGAGAAAACATGTCGGCTCTCGTAGACTCTGGGGAGAACAGGCTTCTTACTTCTTTCTGTGCTCTGCTAAATTTTTCTGTCAGAAATTTTTGTTATGTGGAGCAACCCTCAAGCCGTGACACGTTCGAATCGGAGCCGGGGGTAACACCACAAAATGTGCCATCTCCTAAACAGCGGGAGTGTACAGTGGTGAGAACGAGAATAAAAATTATCCTGTGCTGATTTTCATCACACACACACACACACACACACTCTGCTGAGTTAATTAAGGAAGACAATGGCTGAAGTTGTGACAAGGCCACATTACCAATGATCCATGAGAGGCATGGACACACACACACACACAGACAGAGGGACGAGAAAACTGGGTCAAATGGACCCTGAGAGAGAACGAGTGCACGTTAGAAGAGTTAGAGCCAATCGACACTGGATCTTTTCTTTACCCTCATCTCCATCTTATGTGTAAAGAGAACAAATGGTGGAGGGGGTGGGGGGAAGAGAGGCCTGTTAAAGAGGTGTAAAAATCAAAACCCAGGAGTGCGGCCGAGGTTTCAACCCATCTGCATTTCTAATGACAGCGAAAGAGAGATTGGTGTGATGAGGAGAAGTGGAGAGAGATGCAATAAAAGGCGGAGGGAGAAATTTAGAGAAGAAATGGAGCAAACAGCAGAGAAGTGGAGTGAAAGAGAGATTGGTGACAAATAGAGAGAGAGAGAGAAAGACTATAAACAGGCAGAATATAAATCCCATAAGACTAACAAGAGGATTGGTGACACAGTAAGAAAGACATGGAGGGAAGAGGAAGATATAGCCGTGGTCCAATGTTGAATTATAAAACATTTATTCTGCTAGAAGTTTTTGAAGTTGTTTTTTTTTTTTTTTTCTTCAGATGTTTGGAAGCATAGAAAACCCTGATTGATGGCTTGCCCAGAGACGGAGAAGAAAACCAAATTGGCCCACATTTGTCACAAGTCTCAGAGCAGGAACTCTGATCACGACCACATCAGATCCTCTGGAAAAATTCAGCAGCCACATTTTAACAGGAAGTACGTGGGCCAGTTGAGGGACTATCTCCAGAATTAAGTAACTATTGGTATATGCTTTACCAGGAGAAGCATGTCATACAAACACTTAAATGTTGCTTTGGATAAAGCAGAGGGACTTCAAAAGGAAGCCCAGCTAGCGCCCCCCACAGGCTGCGGTGTTCATTGCATCTAAGAAAACTAGTGTTGAATGGAACGAACAACATACATTATGGAGGCGTACAAAGCGTGCAGCCAAAGTAATTATAATTTTATAATTAGTGAAAAAAAACTTAATTTGCATTTAATTAATTAATTAAAACACTTACGTACAAAAAGATTAAATTAATAATTATAACCATTTAATTAAATGTATTGAAGTATTTAATTTATTTAATTAATATCAGACAGCGGCAGCAGCAGGAGCTCTGATTGGCCAGCTAATGTCTTCAAAGCAAAGTGATGCACATAATGCATAATGCAAGCTAAACATTACAGCAACAGTTAACGTAAAGTAGAACTTAAATTTAAATACATTTAAATGAACTTATTTGGGTGAAATCAGCTAGGGGCCTGAAATTCTTGGCTGTTGCTTAAAGTTCCATCTGTCGTTTGAGCACTGGTCAGCAACTGGACTAATGAAGGAGAGAAATCTAACACCAGCTAGCAAACGTCCTTTCAAATGCCAGATGAACCCAGCGTGTGCAGGAGCTGCTGATGTGCTGAAATAACTTGAACAAAAATTCTGTACTAAAGTTAGTACGGTAGGTTGCTAGCCTTCACTTTTAAAGTAAAATAAAATTTAAAAGCATGATGGGTCCTCGTATGCTTTGAATGAAAAAGGGACTGATGACTTAAACTGCTAACAGTTGAGCTCACATTATGTTGGCTTGTTGAAAATAGTGTCGACGTGCTCCAGTCAGTAGTGCACTATTAAAGTTGACGGCGCAACTCCTAGCAATACCGGCCCTGAAAGGCCAGTCAACTGCTGTCAAGGGGGAAACGCACATTTAAAGACTTTTATAGATATGTCCAAAACACCATGGTTTTGAAAGACATATATGCACAAGCTGTTGTATCATTATAATTTCTTCATACAAAAAAATTAAAATTGAATAGCACCTCCTTGCTTCCTCTCAAGGAGGAAAAACTCACTGACACATTATCTTTTTTTTTAACCTGTACACAAACAGAAATGCAAAAAAGACAAGTTATAGTTTTGAGGGGGAATTAAAACTTTCTTTGTTTATTTTTGTCAAATAAACTGATGACAGCTCTTGGACTGTTTTTCTACAGTCTGTCAGCCTGTTTGAGCAGTAACTGAAAAGCATTTTCAAGACAAAGCAGCACAGACTCGCTTTTGCTTGTTGGTATAATATCAAAAACTTCAACTCATCATCATAATCATCATCATCCCCCCCAGAACATACAAAATCATTTACCAAATGAACACACCTTACAAATCTATTTATTAAAAAACATAATGATTCATCATACTCATTGCAATAAAATGACAAAATAAAAAAGGACACTGGAGAGGCCTTGCAGTGACATGTTCAATGTGTGTATCAAAGCTACGTGTGTGTTGTATACCATTAAGAGCAATATGGCACAGAGCCCTATAATTCACCTGTGTGCTCAAGTACTGTGAATGTGTGGTGTTGTTTTTGTAACCTATTTTGAATACTGCAACAGCAACATCACGGAGAGGCGCACACACCCACAAACACATGGAGACTTATTGGGAGTTTCTGAAGTAACTGTCACCATCAATTGAGCCAAAACACACATATTGAATATTTCTCAAATGGATTTTCAGCTGAACCCCTTCGTGAATAAAACAGAATAGCAGCACTGATGGAACGTCAGATTTCTTAGTTTTTTTCGTTTGCTGGATGAAGCTTGCAGATAACTGCATTCAGACTAAATCTGGTTCAAAAGGTTTAACTTTGTGTCAGACGAGTGCTGCCATTCTAAACGCATCTGAACAACTGAGTAGAAAAATATTATAATTTTAGGGTTGTCTTGGTGTTTCCTGTAGCTGATGGTGTTGTTATGAAATAATAATAATGAAGTTATGAAATAGACCCATTCAATATCACCAATGAGAGATATTTATGAATATAGGCATTGCGTTCTGATTGGATAATAGTTAAAAATTCTGCACCGTCGAAGCTGAGTGGGTTAAAGATGAATTATTTGAATAACATCCAATCAAGAAACAACCATCCTGTTTTAAACTAATCTTAACTTTGTGTGTTAGCTCTGAAAACAGTGAAAACTGTGTGATGATTCCAGATTTACATGAGCTGTGACCTGACTACAGCCTGATATTGCTCGTAAAGTTCTGATAGTTACTAAAAACACCTTTAAAAGCCATTCAACTTCCTCTCTTTGTGTGTTGTCGTTGCTGAAACTGCGATTGCGCGTTCACACAAGTCAACATGATGCAAAAATTCATTAATTTGCTATAAAACAGACTCAATAGCTGACCTTCTGAATCTGCTGGAAATAGCAGATGTTTCTTACCTCTTGCTCTACAGATCTGATTTTCAGTTTTGGCTGTTAGGTGAAAGTAAACAGTTTCCTACAACTTTGCTGTGAAAGAGTAAAGATGAAACATCTTGAAATGATTTGGAAAAGGGCTGTATCTGCCAGTTGAAATCTCTGAAACAACTTTAATGACAGTTTTATGGCAACTTTTCTTGCCAGTTAGCAATGTTTAAGGAACAGTTTGACAAATTGAGAAATAAAGAATCCTTATTTGCCAGCAATAATTGGTCTGGGAATCTTTTAGCCTAGCTTAAAACTGGAAACAGTGGAGACTGCAAGCCTAGCTAAACCAAAGGTGACATAACATGCCTGCAAACAATTTCAAAGTGTCTCATTTATGTTGTATTATGTATTTAAAATAGGATAACTATAAGATCTCTCTCTCTCTCTCTCTCTCTACACACACGCTAGGCTAACCACTTCCTGACTCTAGCTCCATGCTTAATGCACAGATGTGAGATTAATATTGATCTTATTGTCTACCTCTTGGAAAGAAAGTGAATACACGTATTTCCCCAAAAATGTTTCATAATTCCTTTTAAAAAACAAAACTGAAACTGAGAAATATGCATGGTTTTCCTGTTCAGAACTTGTGTCACAGTGTCAACACATTAGAGTCTAGATTTACTGGAGTGATAGGTGGCTTTAAAAATCTGGATTTAAGAGTCATTAAAAAGTAACCATGGAAAAGGCTTGTGTTGCTTATGAATGACATCAGTCTGTCATTACAAAACAGTACATGCAATTCTTTGTCTCACATACTGTAGCACAGTAGTCACACACTAACACACACAAGACCCGGGGGCAAAGAAACAGCTGGATACATTTCTGAATATTTATAAAAAGAGTGTATGCTGTCACCACTTTTAGTGGTTGTTCAAGTGTTGATCTGGCAATATGAACCAAGCACACCTCCATTAGTTCAAATATTGGCACCATGTACAGTATATCTCACACACAAACACACTAAATGCATATCTCCTTGTAAAGCTTAAAAATGCATTTTAAGCATTTTAAAATCTCTCAATTTTCATAAAACTAGAGTTGAGAATAAAGGTAAATATTGTCCTCTTGTTAAGGTAGGAACACTCTGGGGTGGTAGTTCTAGTGCAATACCTTTCATGTGGAAAGCACTGAAGCACTTTCATTTTCTGGGACTTCTGCTGCCCGTATGAACGTGACATTTACTCCATGACATCCTCCTTGACAGAAGTAAGGCTCAGGCTGCCTAAACCGCCAGTCCTTGCAAATACAAAATAACTTTAGCCGTGTGACTTAACATGGATATGTTGAGGCACAGATACATAAATGACAACAATTCTGTCTCTCGATCTCCAACCACCCCTTGATTTTTCTGTGCTTCCTCAAAAAAGAAAATTTCAACGGGGTAGGCTGGTGTGTCGTTACTCTGAGAGACTCAATTGCCATCAGGAAGTGGTTGTACTTTGCAGGAAGCCTTGGCATCAGAAGAAGGGGGGAAAAGCGTGTAGCCCAGCCTGAGCGCTTCATTTGTTATCCCCAGTGGTTACAGAGGCAGCAGATCTGTTATGTGGTCCTTTATTACAAAGTGGCAGTGATGTCTCAGAAGCCTGTTCTCAAAAATTAAACTCCAGATTCGTCAGAGTTTCTTATAGTGCTAAGGTCTAAATGGGGAGCAAATCTGTATCTGTGTAAAAAAAAAAAAAAAAATCACTGGAAGCACCACAGATTTCAATGGATCTTCATAGAAATTGAAGTCTCAAAGGCTGTTTCCCCATTGGTGCTTGTAGAAGTCCCCTGCTCCTCCACTGCAGAGCTGAATCTGAGATCCTGAGCACCCATAAAAGCACTGCGATTGATCAGCCAGGCTTCTCTTTCCAAAGCGATGTGTCGTTTTACTCCCAACATCCGTCGCCTGGAAACAACTGGGTGTCCCAGAAATCATCTATGGGCGTGTGTCTGTTGTGTGTGTGGTGTTTTCTGTGAGCGCTGCAGTGTGTGGGTGCGGGGGAAAGTGTTTGTCAGTCCATCTCCAGGTCCATCAGTTTGTTGCGGGAGCGTGGGGTGTGTGCGGTGTTGCGGCAGCAGCAATGGGCACAAACAAGACCCAGGACCAGAGAGAAGAGGCCCACACCTAAAAACAAACAACAAGGTTAAAGACGCCATATCACCAACACTACTACTACTCCACCACTAGTACCTCGACTAATGCTACTAATAATCCTACTCATGCAGTGATTCCTACTACCATTACTACAACAGGCAGGAGCTGTTACCATGTTCACAACATGTTTTTACTACTTATTACTATTGGAATTACTAGTGTATGCACGGCAGGACTTCTTCCAGGAAGCTTTTAGAAACTTCTTAATTAGAAAAGCCAGGGTCTAAATTTAGCCGCCGACTTGGGGATAGTTCTTTCTGATGAAGTAACTACTGGAGTGAAGTTTGCAGGACAAAATTTTGGTAATAGGACCTTGTATCTGCTACAACTTCATACACACAGTAAAAAGACAAAAACATTAGTATGAAGGACATTTCTTACCGTTTATTAACGGTAAAAACAAATTCATGTTGTTGGCTTCGACAAGTTTAAAAAGAGAGTGATAAAGAAAAACAATAGATTGCTTAATTTGCTTACTGATTCAATGCAGTTACGTAAATACTATTTAGCATTGCTCCTTTGTAGAGAGTCGAACTTTACCTCTGCTTCAACAGCAAATTACAAAGAACAACCTGACTCTGTGCTGTCGTTACACCCCCCCCCCCGTCAAAAAAAATCTCGAACTGTGTTCAAGACTTATTTTCTTGTCTCTCGTGTTGTTGAACTCAGATTAACAAGTTAGCAACTGGTGCTAGTGTACTGTACTGACACTAACGATGCCTATAAACGTTGGATTTTCCTTATTACTAGCTACTAGTGCTAGTGTGTACTAGCACAACCAGTATCAGTGCCAATTAAGGCATTTAAAACTAATGTTTTTTTTCACTATATTAAGCCTAATCAAATTTAGGTTCTTGTCTTAACTGTACACCGACAATGCCAGCTGTCAGACATGTGTCCTAAATAAGCCTGAGCACAGCACCGTCCGCTAGTAAAGTGCAGAGCAGCACAAAAAAAGTAAATCTAGTACATTGGCCAGCAGTTTAAGATGTGCACACTGACATTGAGCATCAGTGAACAAAAATAAATACATAAAAAAAATAAATACATAAAAAAAATAAAATCACTTCACGCCAATATTTTGTTTGTGTGACATTTCAGTAAGCTAGCTCACAAAAATAGGCTCTAAAAGTCAAACAGGAAACTGATGGGTGACTATGTTGAGATGTGTTATTGCTTACAAAATGTCAACCATCTGTACACAATACTACATGACACTGAACAGTACACGAAACTGTCAAACATTAGACATGCTGGAAATTTGCTGACACTTAATATTTAAAGACTTGTACTAAATTAAATATTAACACCTGAAAATACAACATTACATACATATCAACTTTTAATTCAGACTGTGTGGTTACATTACCTATTGAGGCTGCTAGACCATAAAAGAGAGGTAACTGTAGGGACTCCCACACTGCAGAAGAGAGACAAAGAGACATGTGTTTAATGGGAGCAAATAATGTAAAAAAAAAATTACAGTACGTTCAATTGTGGATTAAAGTATCCACCACATGGCAGACATATTTTCCATTTCATGCCTAAATATGTAAAAAAAAAAAAAAGTGCCATCTCCACACTAATGTATCTTTTATGGATATAATCCGCACCCCCAATATAAAATCGCTCTCCTCTGCACAGCAATTCAATAAAAATCTAACAGCGATGAACTCTAGCACACTCTCCTCACCAGCAAATCGGACTGTAAGGAAGATTCGAGTCGACGTCAGCTCCCCGGCCTGAGTCCAAGCTCCTGTTGAGGCAGACAGGTACCAGGGAGTGGCAACACAGTGGTACTCACCACTGTCACTGGGAACAATATCACAAACATGGTAAGACACTGCAGCTGAGATTGTTATAACGGTGATATACTGTAAATCTTCCAGCCATCTTCCACACTCACCTGTCCTGAGTGCCATGAATGTTCAGCATGTAGGTGTGTGTGCCTTTGCGCTCTATTGAAATGTCACTGGATGAGTTACGAGCGTCTTTCCTCACAACGCCGAAGCGGTCCAGGCTTGCCACCTGGCTCGTTGTTGCTCCGCCACGCAGCCTGGTGAAAAACCAACGCACCTCGTATGCCAGGTCGTCTGAGAGAGAAACACAGAGACAAACACATTTACGTAAAGCTGTAAAATCATCTTTAACTGTACTGCTTGCCTGCCAAGAAATGGTTCCAATCACCTTTAAAACTACAAAGTCCTTTCACATTTCTATTTACATAACGTATATACATGTTAAAGAGCTGAAACAATGTGAAAACGAAAGTTGTAATAAAAGCGAATTTTTGTCAGATTTGATGGAGCAAAGCTAGTGGTTTCTTTGTGCTCAACTATTATCTCCATCCTGGAAACACAGATCAAACTCATACTGGTTTTCTCAGCTGACCTTGAGCAAGACCTCAACAAGTAACAAGAAGTTACAATATATTTTTTCATTTTTGTTTAAATGACACTAGAAATAGGTACCCCTTGGATTTTTTTGACCACTAATGGCACTATGGAGAAATGTGTTTATGAGTGGCTCAAGTCAGTTTTATTCATTTAGCCAAGAATTATAGATCTTTTCAGAGTGCTTTAAAATCTGCACAATAGACAACACTCTCTATCCCGAGACCCTGGATTTGGATAAGATAATAATATGAGGTAATAATGAAAAGAAATGAAAAGCACAGCAAAAACAGCAGAAGATTTGCAAAAGACGACAATATCAAGTACATTAAATACTCACGTTTGTATCTTGTACTCTACTGCAACACACACAAGCATGCAGGTATCGTGAGTTACAATCCTACCGATGGTTTCATGCGATTTCACTGATCAACAGTTGCTGGCAATGTCCCAACAAAGTCAGGGGAGAAGAAGACCGCTTGCCAGCAGAATTCAAAAATTCGCTTTACAAATGTGTTATAAGCGGTTCATAACGTTTGCTTGTTAGGCTGCATGAACAGACACCATATGTTTTGGTAAGAAACTGTATGACTCTGAAGATAACATTTGTTTACAGAACAACTCCACCGGTTACCTTTAAAAGGACTCATTAAAAAGTGACAAAATGCGCAATCAACTATTGTGTGTCTAAGTGTTGTTTTCAATCCATATGCAAAGCTCAAGACAAATTAAGTTAAAGTTAAATCCAGTTCAAGATTGGATAAAGACCTCACAATCGGCTCAATATCAGCAGCATTAGTTAAAGGGGAACTTTTAGAGACGAGGTATCACTACTCCCTCCGTGTAATGTATTTCAAGTTAGTGAGGGGTCAGTCGTCAGAGTGGGCTGCAAGTTAAGGAGAAAAAGGGGGGTTTTATTTGATAGAATGAGCAGAAAGGAATGAGCGTTGAAAAGCTTGTGATAACTTTATTGGCTGGACTTTTCAGTTGCTCCCACTTGTGCAGGATGACATAACCATCCTGAAGTGGCTGGAGAGGTTTTCCAGGAAGAGGTAATTTTCCAGAAACTTTGAGTGCCCGTTTCATGAAATCTTTCCTAGCTTTAGCCACCATTTACTTTAGATAATGTGCATGCAATTAGTAATGTTCAACTGTGGTACATGTTTAATTTATCACCAAAATAAATGGGGCTGTCAGTTTATGAATTGTAGAGGTTTAGATGTACCATGACTCATATGACATATAACCAGCTCAAAACATTGCAATAGCTTATACAGAATTATTTATGTTGCATTATGATGTTTTGACACGTGGTTATAAGCACTATATTCCACACCTCATGTCTAATATTTACATAGAAGAGTTTCTGCACTGAAATTGAGGAAGCGAGTGTTATTTTTAGACGTACAACGTAGCCGTAATTTCACTATGATGACGACAGAAACCGTTATCGCCACATTAAAAACACACAGCCGCCTGCTGTTCCTTCTCCCATCAGAGATATAAAAAAAAAAAGAAAGACAGATGGACATAAAAAGAAGGATAGCACTGACAAAAGAAAGAAAACAGGGACAAGAGAGAATTTGTGATAATAGATGTAATCTTTGGAAAAGGGGGGCGAGCGAGCTAATTATTTCCAAGTCGTGTAGAGAGAGAGAGAAAAAGACGGGCAGCAACAGAGACAGACAGAGGAGCACAAACTAGTCATTAGTCTGTCAGGGAGAGACGGACTATTAACACTGTACCTCCCACACACACACTCACACTCTCTCTCTCTCTCTCTCACACACACACACACACACACACACACACACACACACACACACACAGGCGTCTTAGTCATCCTCTGTCATTTAGGAGACAAATAGAGGATACAGATGAAAAAATAAAAACATTTGCGAACGACAACACGGAGAGAAAGAAAAAAAGACAAATGGAGATGAAAAACAATTACAATGAAAATAAAAAGGCAGGAATGAGAGACGGAGAAATGAGGAGAGGGGAAGAAGAGAATGGAGCGAATATAATGGAGAAAAACGGAGGAGAGGAGGAGGAGTGAACTCAGCCACAGCAGAGTAATGAATCACATCTCAATTTCTCTCTCCCTCTCTTCCCTAATGGTTTTAATATTCAAGCCCTACATCATTAAAAATCAGTAGTAGTAAGAGCAGCAGCAGCATTAACACTGGCCTTTAGTTTAGTGTCCCATGGTCTTAATTTTCATCATTATCTGAAAACTTTGCCCCCTCCTTGTGACACTTAAGTCCAGACTCTAGAGCAAGATATCCTCCTACATACTGGCCACGTTTTGCTGTAGATATTCATGGTCTCAAGAGCATGATTCAGGTGACCTATGACCCCTCCTAACAAAACTTCCCGTTGACCAAAGGCACCAGATATCTCAAAAAAATAGTGTGTGCAACAATAAGCAGATATTGGTCCAGCTGATCAGTCCGGCTCCTGGGGCCTCTAGCAGGATTTAAAACTGGCTTTAAGAAAGAAATCAGAGTCCATTGCACCGTTGTGTTAAAACAACACAAGGGTGCGGTGCTGGTGGGAGCGTGTGGCTTCAGGTAGCGGTGAGCCAATGAAAGACGGTCCAGGAAGTCCAGTTTCTCAAATTATGGCCATTGGCAGCACTGATGCAAACATTCTTCCTTTAAAACCTGAAAGAACGCAATTTCAAGCCCTGTATGCACAGTACTGTACCCTGAACCTTCTTAAACACTTGCATACACTTTTATTGATGAGTATTTCCATTTAAGAACAAACAACAAAACAGAGTCAATACTCCGAAATCCTTTGAAGGGACATCAGTAAATTGCACGTCCATTTTGACCAGCCAGTCCAGTTAGACACTTTAACTTTTAAAGTTTGTTGCAAAATCCATTCAGAAATAACACAAAGATTCCACATTATCAAAGTAAAGGAAAAAAGTTTCCACATTTTAATGTCAATTGTCAAGGACAGAAAAATGTGAAATACCTCATCTGCACTCCAAGTAATAAAAAGCCTAAATGACTAAATTGATGGTGACGAGGATGATGAAGATGCATTAGAACAGTGTGGAGAGGGGACACAGTTTTTTTTTGCACAACGACAAGTAGCCAAGCGTTCCATCCAACCAGAGAGGAGGAAATAGGAGATGACACAAAGTGAGGGGTTGAATCGGTCGACTGACCACACACACACACACACGATGAGTAAAGTTCTGACAAAGAGAGAGGACTGATTTGCCAAATTAACAACCTGCAGGAAGCCCACATGGCTCCTCGCAGCAACATAAAGACTGTTACATTATGGAACAACTATCACTCTGACGCACTATAGGGAACCTTCAAGCACTCCAGTCCAAAACAATTAATCAATTAGTTGCCAGAAAATTAATCTGCAACTATTTTGATAATCATTTTAAATAACATTTCAAGCAACGATGTCAACATTTGATGGTTCTAGCTTCTCAAGTTACTCAGCTACTTTTCTTTGTCTTATCACATTAAAAATCTGCGTTTGGACTGTTGGATGGACAAAGAGATTTGATGACACCCCCTTAGACTCTTTGTTTTCTGATGAAACAATTCATTGAAAAACATGCTAATAAAAAAGGACACTCGTTTCCTGGAATGGCTTCATGTTTCATGACAGATATGTCAATGGTGTGTTTGTAAATTTAAGCAAATTTGTAAATTTGAACATAAAAACTGTTGTGTAACTGACATTGCAGAGTAATTATGCTGACTTTGTGCTACTGTAACTATATATTAGCATTCAGCATTGTTCCATTACTGTCACTTGTGTCCACTGTTCACCAGAAGTTCTCCAGGCTTTAAAGACACACTGTAATACCCTTAAACTTTCTGGAAAATGGGGAATCTTCTAAGGTGACTTTATCCTGCACACTCAGGTCTAAACTAGAGTTAAAACATGACTTCTAAATTTGACTAAACATTTTTAAATCAAGTATTTCAAGCTGTTTTCCACACAGACATATTGTCCACATATGGGTCTTGCCTCAAAGTAAGGCTACACTCCACTGAGACCGTCTGCATGGGCGGTGTGAAGGCTTTTCTTCACCACCAAACCTGATGTATTAGCCGGGGCTCCCTTCGGTACGTGCTACAGTAAAAGAAAAACAGGCTGAGCTCATGTGCATGACGAAGGACGGGTTTGGTGAGAATGAGGATCTCTTGGGGTGTGGACTCGGTGTGACCTGAATAACGTCTTGGACACATACCTGGTACAAGTGAGTATGAAGGGACGGATTACAACAAAAAGTAAAAAAAAACACAAACAAAAATACCCCCACACTAACAAAAACAAGTGCAAGACCCACTGTGAACATAACTGGCGGTTATTTTCATTACCATTTAGTTTCCAGATTCGTTTTTCGATCTAAGAAATGTCAAAACAATTATCAATGCCAAAATTGTTGATCAACTAATGATTTAATTGACTAATTGACATTTAAGCTTAAAATAGTATGCCCCAAAACCCAACACATGAAATTCTTTTAAAATCTGATCATAATTCAAATTATGTTGATTCCCAACACATGTTAATGTATTATTCCAGTACAATTTAGGTCTTTGTTTTCCTACTTTTAGCCATCTTTCCTATTATTAATCATCACATTTTTGACATATTGCTCAAGAGAAACATGAGTAGTCAGATGATGAGACACTTTAAAAAAAAAGTAAAAA